AGCTAGTTGCAGAATCATATTGATCGGCTTCACTTCTGTGATTCCCAGCTTTTTCATCATAGATAATGGCATTACGTTGATGCTAGCACCTAAATCACATAAAACGCTTTCATTCTTTCTTCTAAAGAAGGCTTCTTTATTATTTTTTTACGTGGGGTGTCATTTAATGGTCCTCCAATAATTATGACATGATCATCAACTTTTTCTTCAGCAGGATTTTCCTTCTCTGCATCTTTTTCACTACTCGGTGCAGCTATTGGTATTTCCACACTTTCCCTTGTAATGATGGCATTACATTGTTCCTTGGGATTAATAATTGTATTACTAGGAAAGGTTCCTGGAGGCCTCTATCTGTTTGGCAAGCTGACCAATCTGAATTTCCAGATTCTTTATGGAAGCTTCTTGATTCTTAAAAGATGCTCTCGTTTCTTCTGCGAAATTTGTTTGAGACTGGGCCATCTTTTCAAATGCAACTTCCCAAGCGGCTTTCTGATTAGGTTGATCTTGTTGGAAATTTGTATTATTTTGTTGATGCCCAGATTTGTATGACAGACCAGGATGGTTTCTCCAGCTCGGATTATACGTATTTCCATAAGGATTTTCTCTCCTCTGGTTATTCCAGATTCCATGAACCTGAGCCGGATCAATCGTTACTGTAGCGTCACAGTTTTCAGGAGTGTGTGGTCCACCACAAGTGTCGCAAACTATAGGAAATTGCGAATTAACCGCAGAGATTTGATTTTGGGTAAAGAGTTTAACAAGTGAATCTAACCTTTGATCCATCTTGTCTTGTTTGGCTAACATAGCGTCGTACCCGTCTAACTGCAACACTCCTTTCTTAGGTTGAACTGGTGTGACCTCGTTATCTTCAGATGACATCTTCTCAATCAGTTCAATAGCCCTTGTGGGAGTGATTTCTCCGATACTCCCTCCAGCTGCAGCGTTAAGAAGTACTCGATAAGTCGGAGTAACTCCTTTGTAGAAAATTCGGACCTTCTCGCCATTAGATAAAACGTATTGGGGACATCTCCTGATTAGTTCTTTAAATCTTCCCCATCCTACGCACAGAGATTCGCCTTCGAGTTGCTTGAAGTTGTCAATTTGTTCCTTCAACTCAGAGAATCGGGATAATGGGAAGAACTTCTTTTGGAATTTCTCAACCAAATCTTCCCACGTGGAGATGCTATTAGCAGGTTGCAATTCCAGCCAATTAAGTGCTCTTCCTTTTAAAGAAAAGGGAAACATCATCAAACGGATTTCTTCAGGAGGAACCCCATTAGCTTTGATGAGGCTACACAATTGTAAGAATTTAGTAATGTGGCGGTTTGGGTCTTCGATCGGGTCTCCTTCGAATAGATTACTTTGAATTAAATTCAGGAAAGAGGCTTTTATTTCAAAGTTGTTGGCATGGATTTGAGGTCTCCTAATACTCGCAGTTGGATGCGAGAAATTAGGGTTTAAGAAGTGACTCATCAGTTCTTCAGGTGGATTTTGGTTATCTTCCGCCATGACTAGTCCTTCCGCAGAGTTGGAGCTCGATGCTTCTCGTGTCTTCTTTGCGGTCAAACGTTTCCTATTAGTTCTTTCTAAACGTCCTAACTCCGGTTCGTACTGTAGGTCACTGGGATTAACAGTGCCTCGCAAATGCATAAACCAGAAAACTAAGGCTCAGTGGACCAACTAACGGAAACCACTAACTAAACAGAAAATTTTTTAAAGCAAACAAATTAAAATAAAATAACTAAATAAACTAAATAACAATAAAAACAATAAGATATTTAAACTAACACAGTAAAATAAATAACAATAAAATAAAATGATCCAATCTATAATTTGATAAATAAAATTAATGTTGATTAAATCAGTCCCCGGCAACGGCGCCAAAAACTTGTTGACGAACTCGGCAAGTGCACCGGTCGTACAAGTAATAAAGTGATAAAGTAGAGTTGTCGATCCCACGAGGACTGATGACCAAGCAATAATCTATTTATTTAATTAAAGTTGGATCGATCATTAAAGGTTTTCTTGAGAATATTGTGATTAAAGTAAAAACAGAATTTATAAACTTATTTTTGGTTTTTAATATTTTAGAAATTTAATTCAGAATTAATTAAAGCTAAAAGAAATTGATTTAAGTTTTCAATAAAAAGGCGTAGTTAGGATTCAACTTCCCCAATGGTTTCTTAACGAGTTTGCTTACTCTTACGATTACATTCAAGATTAAATTATTAACAGCTCTTTCTATAATTAACTAAATCCCAATCCCTTGGTAATTTAATTCTTTATTCTAATCCAAAGCCTAATCCCTTAGTACTTTTTCATAAAACAAGCATTAACGCAAGAACTCACAGTTATAAAATTCACAAGTCTATCCCTAGATCATGTAAATTCCAGCAATCAACCAATCAGAATCACATACCAACATCCCTATTGTCATATATGACTCATGTGTTTATTTACGAGTGATCAAGTCATAAATAAAACTAAGCATAAATATCAGATTGATTGCATAATTTAGAAACAAGAATGTAATTCATAAGAATAAACAAACATCAACTAAGAACCCATTGGTTCTGTATCTTCCTAACTACTGAAAGTAAATTAGCTAGACATAATTATAAATGCAGAATAAAAATCTACTGTAAAAGAAACTGAGTTCATGGTAAACTTGTCTAAAAGTGATGATCAATGGTGCAGAGTTGACTCCTTCCTTCTCCTCTGCCACGATCCAGTGCTACGCTTATGCTCCTTCCTTCGATTCGTCTCAAGTGCCTTCTTTCTCCGCGTTCCAGAATGATTTTTACGGCTTCCTTCGCGTTGTATTTAAAGGGAAAATATGGGCTTTAATTTGCTGATCCGCTCGCTCCATCGGTCGCCTATGCTAAGACCTTAGCGAGCTGCTGGCCATTTTGCTCGCTCTAGCTAGCAACTTTGCTAGCTGCTCGCCCACTTGCTAGCTCTAGCTAGCAACTTTGCTAGCTACTCGCCTACTTGCTAGCTCTAGCTAGCAACTTTGCTAGCGTTACAATTTTTATTTTATTTATTATTTCATTTCTGATTTTCCATTGCTCCGCGGATTCGTTGCCTTGTTTTGTTACTTTGTTATTCCAGTATTCCAGTCTCAACAACCTGAAACAACAACAAATATTTAGAATTTGTTTATTTGTTGACAATTCATTCTGTTTTACTATTTTATTGTTTTAACACTATATTTTTAACTATTTTAGTCATTATTTGAACTCTTTTTAGCCATAAAACATAGTGTCTTAGACACTTATCAAAACATTCCCAGATTTACTCATTGTTGTCCTCAGCAATGAATTGAATTAAAAACATGGAATAATGTAAGCATGCTTAATATAAAACTAGGCAATACATCAATTTATGAATGATCAGACTTAGACAAAAAATAATAGGATTTTTAAGAACAGACAATTAACTAAGCAGACTTGAAAGTAAGTAAGTTATAAAATCGAAGTATGAGTTCAGTCAATCAAGCATAAACATTGAGTTTTAACACATCCCTCACTAGATATATCAAGTCACTCCTCACTCATCTGTCTAAGGGTAACTGTTTCACTCAATTTTTCACTGTTTCAATATTTTCATAAGCTTGATAATATTCTCACTTTCCATAATTAATTCACATGCACAAAGATCAAGAGGTCTTTATTCAGGTTGTAATGGGGCTGGGCTGAAGGTAAGATAAATAAGGAAAAATTAGCTAAAATAATTAAATACATAAAGATCATGGTAAAGTGTAAACACTCAAAAAATAATCTTTTTTCTCCTTTCCTTCCTCCTTTTTCTTTTTCAGCACTTTTATTTCTTTTTCTGTATTTTTCTTTTCTTTTTCCAACCTACAATACTTTTCTCCTTTTCATTTTCATTTTTCAACACTTTTATTTGCATAGAAACAATAAATAAGAATTAATTTTATTTTTCACCATTTTTCAACCTTTGCTTTTGCTCCCTTCGCCTAACCTCCTTTTTCACCACTTTTGAATTACATGACGAAGTACTCATGTTTACACCCTACCATGAAATTTCTATAATCCAATTTTATTTAAGGTAGACGTGTATGTAGAGTGGCTAATTAAGATGACAGGTATTAAGAACAGAAAAGGCTTAAGCTCAAGGGGCTAAACAAAGGATATCATCATGGTTGGCTTTTTGGCTAACTAGTTAAAACAATAAAATGCCTCAATCATTTCAATCATGCATGCAAATAATTACTTTAAGGAGAAACAAAGCAAGTTCTGGTAATATTTTCAACAGTAAAATGCACACTGAAAAGAGTTTTTCTGTTTAGGCTCAAACCTCACGGTTATATGTGTGCAATTCAGTAATTTATGCTCTTTCTCAATCACTCATACTGTAATTTTATTATTCTTACTGACTGTTAGACTAACTCAATCAATGTTTATTCTTAAAATAAAAAATATATTCTCAAGTCATCACATCATAAATTAATTTTTCTGACTAATTCTAACTTAGCATGATTTAGTAATCCACACAGAGAAAAAAAATAAAATAAAATGAAATGAAATGAAGAGGAATAAGGAAGAGAATTTTCCCTGAAAATATTTGCGGCTCTTCTCATCACAGGGATCATAGTTGTACCAACTGCTACTACTGCTACTATATATATGGTGTGGTGCGTCCCCATTCCCAAATTTAGGAATTTGCTGTCCTCAGCAATTAATAAATCAAAAAGAAAGAACTGCACACATCAACTCAATCAATTAATAAGGCGGCAGGAGGAGACTCAGAATCTGACTCAGCAGAACGAGACTCCTCTACAATCTCTGGTGGAGATGACACCATAAGTACCTAAAACAAGGAGAAGCATAATCAGAAGAAGTGAATGGACATACCTGAATCAAAAAAGCTACTAGTAGAAGAATCGCTAGAGGATGAAAATGTGGATTTGTCTAAGATTGCAATCGGATCATCTGCCTCACCAGAAGCCGAGGTGGATCCCAGAACATCTCCGTGACGATAACTCGGCTAGGGAGTCACATCCTTTCTCAATGAGTTTAGAACTCAGAAAGACACAAGAATAATATGGGCTGACTTGCTTAGGTTGGGAGGATTTAAGAAGAACTCAAGAAGTAGATGACACATTAGGACCCGGGGTAGAAGTGACACTAGAAGGATCTAACCTGGTTTGGGAAAAATATTGGGGAATACGTCTGTTAGCGAAAGGATGAACCCTACCCCACTTGGAAGAACCACGACCTCGACCAGTAAGTAGGGTTCTCATTTAAACCACGACTCGACCACCCGGATCTCTTCTTGGATCCCCCACCACGATAACCACGAAGCATGGCTTCGCGTTCCTCTTCCTCAATTCTCGGTATCCCCACAACCAGAATTGAGCCCCGGGGGGGACCTTCTTCGGTAAATCGGATTCATCCTCTTTCCAACCTTCATCACGCACAATTGAAGAAGGGTCTTTTTTCCCCCTCATTGTAGAAAATATGGTAAACAACACAAAATTTAAAATGGAAAAGGAAAATGGGACATAAAACTGGGAATAATACAACCAGAATCTCAAGTTGAGAGCAAGTAAACTTCTCCAGAAAAGCTAGAAATATTGACGAAATTCAAAACACAAGTTACAAATGATTCAACAGCAGCCAGAAAAGAAATTTTGAAAATACAAGCGACGAAGATTCCAACATGGAAAAACCGAAAGAACAACAATGCATAAAGATACTCAAAAGCACGAAGAAAGGTAAAAACTCAGGAGAAGAATGCAATACCTAAAAAAACAAAAGAGTGTTTGAGTGCAAGTTTACAAATGCTGATACTCAGGAAATTTGTGCAAAGAAAAGAGAACTTCTGGAAAACAAGTAATGTAAAAAGAAAAGAAAAAAGGACGAACACATTTATATGCTGATTATGGTAACCGCAACGGTTACAAATTGCAAGGGTCAAGGGCATCATAGTCATTACAGCCCAAAAGTAATGATTAGATGCCTGAAACGACCCACTCAATAAATGCACACGAAATTCGAAGATGCATAAATCGGCTGCAACACGCTAATGAATGTGACAATCACCGCGTATCAAAAACAAATAATTACCGAAGTAAAGGTTGACATGACCCCGGAAGAATGACCACACAAGTAACTGGGGCAATAGGAACCTGTAACCAGGTTCTCCGAATGGACATCCATGCATAGAATTCCAAAGCATTGCAAGAATGATGAGCTTAGGGGCAACTAGCCAGTTGAATTCCAATAACTCAAGTACATCCACAACCCGGTCAACATAAATATGAATAGTATCTCACATGTTGAGTGCTCAACTTGACAAGATAAGGGGAAATGAGGTACTATTCCTAGTTCCAGAAATTTCGAAGACCAGAACATATGCATAAAGAGATCACGAGAACCCGGGCACTCTCGGGAGAAACCCAGACAAACACAAATAGTTCACCCTGGCAGCCGGGACACCCAAGTAGCCTGGCTGAGGGGCAACTATTATGGACCCATGTATGA